AGTGTTTGATAAAAGACCATTTTTGGTTTTATTTGATCCAGATTTTCCATTGTCCACTGCTTTGTGATTTCAAACCTGAATTAGATTCCATCTTCTTCACTTTTTTTTTCACTTCTTTACTTTTATTTTTATAAAGGGGCGGTGCTATTTTTAGTCTCAAAGATGCAGATTTCAGAAAACACAAGAACAGATGTTTGACACAACTTCAAGATAAATATGAAACCGAGGTTACCACAGAGTGCTTTATTTGTGATGTCAGCCTTAGACCTGTTAAGATTTTTTTTGTTAGACAAACTGTAAGACAATCCTACAGCGCACAGGCTGTAATAAAAGTTTAAAAAACAAAGTATCTGCCTCTAAAAGAGTTGCAGCAAGGGCATGGCACAAAAATGGATCAGTGACAGAAAAAGCAGAGTCACCAGGAGTCTGACATTTATTCCCAAGTACAGTGAGCAAAGGACAAGCCTAAACAGATCAGAGCCTAAAGAATGTGAACATGGAGGAGTTCGGAAAGTATGATTCGGACCCTGTGTGGGGCTGGAGTGAAAGGTTAAGAGAGAGTGTGTGAGTTCTGTTACTGAGGTCCAAATCGTAAGGCAGTGCCGTGGTCAAGAAGGAGGGCAGAGCTCCGTAATCCAGAGAGCAGAGTCTGAAAACCTAATCCGATCCGTGAGGCAGGTGCAGAGTCGCTGGGGAGGCTAACTCAGTAAACCAAGAGTCGGGAGAGATTTCCAAATCCAAATCGTGAAGCGGGTCCGTGGTCGGTGGTGAGGCAGAATCCGAAAACCAGAATGTTGCTAGGCAAACAGGCGGAAGGAGTAGCTCTGGTGAGTGAAACTCAACAGTGAGCATGGAAAGGTGCAGCAGAAAGGTTTAGGTGGGGAGAAAGGGGAAAAGAGGTTGGATAATTGATTAATTGTGGTGAACAGTGCATGTTGGAATGTGGCGGCGAGTGCGTGGATGCGTCTGACAGACCAGGGGCTTATACTGTAAGTCAGTAACAAGACCAATATGTGACTTTATAGGCAACCAATGACAAGATTTAAGAATAGGAGTAATGTGTTGCCACAGTCTAGTGTGAGTTAGAAGCCTAGCTACACAGTATTGACTATTGCATTTACAAAGGAGAGTGTTAGAGAGCCCATAGAGTAAAGAGTTGCAGTAATCAAAGCTTGATGTTATGAATGCATGAATCAGGTACTCTCCATCTGACGCTGATAGAAATTGCCTAATGGTGGCAGTATTTCTAAGGTGAAAAACGACTTCTTAATCAAATTTTCACATGGGGCTCAAATGAAAAAAGTAGGTGAAATAAAATTCTCAAAGCTCCCAAATTCCTGACGGTGGCTGATGCATGGATGGAGAAGCTATCCACCATTACTATGAAACTCTTCAACTTTTCCAGCTGACACTTGCTGCCCACCAGTAAAATGTCTGTTTTGTCACTATTAAGATTCAAGGCATTCAATGTCAATGAGAGTTTGATGTCACGCAGACAAGAGATTGGTGACCAAGGTGGGAGATCAGAGGGGGAAGACAATGTAATTTAATGTAAATCAGAGAATGATCTGCATAACAGTGAAACTGAAAACCAAGTTAGTGTATAATGTGAATGAGAGGAGGAATATAAATAATAAAAAGCAAATGGCCCAAGACTGAACCCTGCTGCACACCACGAATAATTGGAACCATGGGGGATGTATGAGGACCAAGTGAAACAAAATGTTGTCTATCAGTCAAATAAGAGTGGAAGAAAGAGCTATCAGGGGCTTCAATGCAATGAATTTATTAATAACAGAAAAAAGCATTTTGTAATTTACCAGCCCAGAGCTGAAGATATAAGAAATGTTAGGAATTTACAGGAATTCAGTTATTTCTTTCTTTTAATCTGCATCTGAAACCATTGACCCAATGACTGTGGATCTATACTGCAGTGGTGTGAATTTGAAACACTTACTTACTATGGTAAACTCCTAAATATCATCATGACGTTGTTGAAATTTTTTAACAAATTAATTTTAAACAATCAGCCATTGTGGCTACCATTTTTCATGTGACCTTATGTGCCAAGTGATTAATACTTTAATGATAAGAGTCACATTTGCTGAAACATTTTTTTATTGGAAAAGAAGCTGGCTGAGACACAAGGAAGTAAGGCTCATGATTAAACTACAATAATTCTCTTTCACACGTCTGGTCCAGACAGCTTCTTTCAACTGTTCTCTCGTTTGCATGAATATGAACAGTAAAGCCAGACTTTGACTGTGGGAGGGTCCAAGCAAAACTGATACAGGGTTAACAGCCCACTTTTAATTCCTTCTCTACTCTCACACCACACTCCCTGCAGATAGGTTACTGTATGGAACAGGACTAGCCGTGTCTAGAAATGGAGGAGCTCAAAAACAGATCAGTGAAAAGAGATGGAAGGCACAGGTCAGTTTGTCTTATGTTTCCAATTTCTTTGGTTGCAGCAACCGTTCTGTTTCAAAGATCATGGACAGATTATGGGGTTTCACCTTCTTGTCTTCAGAGTGAAATCAACAGATAAGTAAGATGGTTGTATGAACCTGTAGTTTAATGGTACTTCAGAATCAAAGCCAGAGTTTTATCATAGTAATTCACTGCTAATAAATAAAATAAAAAGAACAGTCTGCTTTAAAAGCTACAAGTATTTTGCAGATGTTTGTGCAGAGAAGTATTTACATTTTTTTAATGTTATTGCAGATTAACTTCCTTGGCAGTGGGTAACACTGCTGCATTGTAGTGCTGGGGCACTGGGTACAATTCTTAGGGTGCTATCAGCGTGGAGCTTGTATGTTCTTTCCATGTTCACATGGGTTTCCTCCAGGTGCTCCATTTCCTTCCCACAGTCCATTGAATGGTTGGCTAATTGGCTACTGGGAAAACTGACTTGACGTGTGTGCCCTGCGATGGACTGTCCAGGGTGTATCCCACCTTGTACCCATTACTTGCCAGGATAAACGCATAATCAACAACCCTGTAGTGGATAAAGCAGTTAGAAAATGGATGGATTATTTTTTTAGCGTTCTAAAGTAAAATATTTGTATGAAAAATCAATAATCAAATAATCGATTGATTTGAAAATGGATCAAATCAATTACTTGTAAAAATTATAGAAAGAATAGTCTAGTATGTGAATATAGGACTCAAATAAAAGTCTTAACCTTCATAATCCCATGTTAAAGTACAGGTATGTTCAATTGGATGGTTTTAACAGTGTGGAAAAAACCTCAGTATCTCAGTAAATCTCAGTATCTTTGTAGTCAGGAAGATTTAGCTCTGAATAATTCACCAAATTGTTTGTAGATTTTGTGGTTGAAAAGTAATAGCTTGTAAAAATATAATTACTTCTCAGTGTTTCTGGATCACTATCCCATACATTAAGGGATATCTATAGTGTAGTAGTGCTTTATTTCATTAAAAAACTTTCAACTCTCATAAACCTGAAGTTCAACATATAATGTAATGTACAGCTATACCTAAAGTACTGTACGTTATATAATATTATGCCCATTTAAAATACACCATTTAATATACACCACATAAAATAATGTATACCTAAAGTATACCATTTTATAATGTACACTGGAAATAAAATTAATAAAACGTTCAGCAAATATTTATTCTTTATTACTGAAAACAACATTTATGCAAGTTTATAAGTTCTTAATGTCTAATATATACCTACAAGTAATAATTCTACAGCATACAATAGGTATTTATTACTGTTAATAAGGAATAATGAGAGCAGGGCAATAGTGAAGTACTTTAGTAACCTTTGTACAGTACATTAGCTATCCATGACGTGCTAAGTTCTGGCCATAAATAACTGATACTACAGTATCTTAATATGCTCCTAACTTATAGCATTTTCAAAGTACTGTTATATAACTAGACACTCAAATTTAAATGGAGTTTATTTAACTAAAGTGTGGGAGGGATGACAACAGCCACGCTCAGTCATCCCCAGCCGTCAGCGATCAGAGATCCCTCCCTTCGTCCTTCCTCCACCGAACACTATAAATACCAAACGCGATCTCTCTCTCCCTCGCGTGCGACTTCTGCATCCCACCTCCACCCCAGCTCCACCTCTGCAGCTGCCCCTTGGTCACCCTGCAGGGGGGGGGTCCTGGCCTCCTCGTCCTACGGCCAGGAGGTCGGCCCTCAGCCAAGCGGGCTAACCCAAATATTCGCTCCACAATAGTTTATTATGCTTCGATTTTGGGTGTTGTCATTCCTCGTGAATTGTACACTCTCCTCTGTTGTATTGTGTTTGCAAGGTGGTTTCAACAAGTAAAAGAGAATGATGTACAGTGTTTCATATACTGTATTACTGTGCCTGTACCACAATACAGGGCTCTTATCATAAAACAGGTGCTGTTGCTAATGGACTAGATAGATAAAAAATGGCTTCATCTTATTAGTAACCATTCTTATGTTCATATGTTCTTACAGTTGTATGTTATAGTAGTGTAGGTATACCGCTTACAATATTTGTCTGCTTTTAAAAAATATCTAAACCATTCACAAGGTGTGGAATAAACCCCACTGAAATGTTTTATTACATAATAGTCTATTAAAACTAATTAATTGTTGTAACCACCAGTTTTCTGTACAGCGATGCAGTCGTTAATGAGTAGGGAAGCACCATTTCATGCCCAACCACAGACCATGGACTTTAAAGCTGTCCTCCTTCCCCTATGAGGTTTAAACCTCCTATAAGGTTTAAGGATGCATTTTATTAACAATCATACATTTATTCCCTTGCTTCACAGGGATACATGGGATCCTTTCCAATTAAATCCTATTGGTGCAGAAAAAGAGCAAAAAAGAAGATGCTTCATTTTAGCCCAGCATCTGGTGGCTGTGATTGTCGGGCTCTTTGTCCTTTTCTGCTTAGTTATCAGCAAGGTAAGGAAGATTTCACAGTGCAGAAAATCTAATTGAGTTAGACGTTTCCTGCAAACGGCATTGTTAGTACGATAACAAGAAACAACAAAAGAGTAAACAAAGCTCTACCACAAACTTTCTCTCTCAGATGTAGCAAAATGAATTACAGTTTAATATAGTGTTGTCTCTCACAGATACACACAATTTATCTTTCTGTCAGACATCTGCTAACTAGCATCTGCTAACTATAATCAAAAACTCCACTCTACAGTATGTGTGTTTTCTCAAACGCAGGGATCGTTGCTTGTTATCTCCATTTTTGCAAGTCCAAGTTCTCTGAGTCAAAGGGACCAACCATTTTATATCCTCATGCTGGCATTCTGCTTGATAATACCGAATGTCCTCATTTTCCTGAAGTCCCTCTGGAAGTGTGCGTTCAAGAACTTTGTCTCCCCAAACATGAGGACAATGGGATTGGTGAGTTTTCATATTTGATTTGATGTTTCTTTTCATTTCTTCTTGTCAAAGCCTGTTACCTATCATAAGATAAATTGAATTTGAAGCCCAGAATGGAAGAAAAATTTTACCTGACCAAGGTTAAAAGCAAAAAGAAGTGAAAAGGGACATACAGTACTGTACAAGTGACATGTATGCACCATGGAACTGTCTTCCACCGTATTTGTTCATATACAAAAATACACAAAGGCCATTAAAGCAGGTCTGATTTTTTACAGAAAGGTAAAGTGATATTGGCAATGGCAGTTAATGGCTTAAAGGAAAAAGACATCGACAATTACTATACAACCATCTGCAGTCAATTTACTGTATGTAAACAACCGAAAACCGGAAGATAAGAAAAACAAAAAAGGGGTGAAAAGGTCTTTAACTATTACATATGATTTAAAATGGGAATGTCTCCATGCATTAAAAGGAAAGTGCACATCCAGTGTGATGTGAAACATACAGTAGATCCTGAAATATAAATGGACACAGAAACTATTGAGGCTTCAAGATCTTGGGATGACGTGTGGTCAGAATAACAATAACTGACAGTGACATAAATGAAGAAAACAAATTTGGTGTCAAATCAACTCTGGCAGATCCCCCTAAACTTTGTCCTCTACTGCAAAAGAGGAATTTTAGACATACTGTACCCAAGAAGACTTTTAACATTCATGGTAACTGCTTTTTTAAAAGATAAAAATGTTCAGAAAAGAAGTTAAGAAAACAATATTCACAAAGTCAACAACTGCCTTCAGCAACAGGGCTCTGACCTTTGAGCCCTAGCTGGAAAATGTCACATTGTGCCCTAATATTGTTACGGCTAGATTGCCTTGTAAAAGTAAAAGTACAGTACCAATTGAACGTTTTATTTGTTGTTGTTTTTTTCAGGTGTTGCTAATTGAAGCCTTTGTTTCACTAGGAACATCTCTACTTGTGATAGTAGTCATGCCTCACTTTGATGTCCTGACGAACCTTTTTATCTCTGGAAGTGTTTGCTTTCTTCCATCACTTTTACAAGTCGTCTTCCAATTACAGAAAGAGAACTGGAAAATTGTGTTCCCGGCTTGTTCCGTCGTACTTGTGCTGATAGGCTACGTTCTCTTAGGAGTAGATTTTTACATTAGAAAAACGTCTTATGTGGCTAATGATCAAAATATATATTATCATTATGTAGGGATTGCAATTTTTTCATCCATATTAATTTCCTTCAATTGGTGGGAGAACTCCCTACAGGCTATCGATAAAATGAAGGACAAGCTGGCAGAATTAGATAGTTTCCGAGACTTTATGATGATAATCTCCAGTCTCCTGAGGACAGCTGTTGTTGGTGTGGTGTTTGCTGTTTATTACCAAATTGCTTATGATGGAGTATGGTCTTACTTCAGCAATATTAACAGTGACACACTCAATATAGGGGTTGGGCTGTTTTTCTTACAAGCTTTTTCCTCTGCTATCGGACATTGGTTTGGGGTGGTGGCTTGTAAGATTCACGCAATCAGAGGCAGCTTTGCTCTGCCTGTTGTCTTGACAACACCCGCTGTACTCATTTCGGCTGTGGTTATTTTTCTAACAAAGTTTGAAGAAATGGACAGAAGGCTGGAAATAGCAAATTTCACAATATCGACATTTTGCAGAAAGCTAAAAGCAGAACGAAACATCACTACACTAGATGAAATTTCCAACAGCATTTGCAGAACCCCAGTGCATAACTATTATGAGATCTGGCCCATCAGCGTGCTCGGGGTGGAAGGATTGTGTTGGTGGATGGCGCTGTTGTGTGGTACCTACTATGTCTGGAGCCTGAAAGTCCAGCGAATTGAAAGAACATCGCAGATATTTGTTCGCAGGCTGTACGAGTCAGCCTTTCTGGATCAGTCACTTCTCCTCAACACCAAGATGAGAGCTGTCAAAACCAGAAATCAGGAAAGGTAAACCACACATCTGAACTGGTGCTGTTACAAATTGTGTGTAGCAAAATTGTGCACACAAAAATAACCGTGCGATTTGTCTTACCTTGTTTTGTGGATGGATGATAACAGCTGTATGTACTGTATGCTGTATATGTTTTGCTAAAACAAACTTTGAATTGTTTAATGGGAAGATTTTATTTTCTTTAATTGGAATTAAACTTTGTAAAAAGTTTTTTTGATTTGTGTTAATAGCAAATCCAGTACTGAAGAATTGAGAAACTGAAGCTAGCAAGAATACATTGGTTGGACTTTCACACCCAGAATCCATTTAATGTGTATTTTTCTTTTATTGCAGTCAAGATGAAATTGAAAGCTGTGTGATATACCTTTGTGCAACTATGTGGCATGAAACATATGATGAAATGCTGAAGATCCTTACATCAATGTTTAGGTAAATTAGTGGCCATTTTTTAAGAAACAGGATAATTGTAAAAGACATGGCATACCTAAAATGTTACATTTTAAATAAATGAATTGCCTAATACCATCCATTATCAAAAATCTGCTGGTGCCTGGGTCACAGTACCCAAGAACCCATTAAGCACAGGGCCCCAGGTGGGATTACACCACAGACAGGGTGCCACAGAGGACACAGGCAATGAGCAAAGCCAGCCAGTCTTTGAGAGGTGGGAGAAGTCTGGAGCACCCAGTGAAAACCCACATGGACTCCACACAGAAGGTGCCAAAGACCAGAATCAGAGCCGAGACACAAGAGCTTACTGCAACACCACAGTGACGCGGACCTTTGGGTTGACTGTATACATGGTCAGAATAAAAATGGAAGATATCTTAACGTGATAGGTATAGAGCAACAACATTAAAATTCCTTTTGAGCACTTGAGTAAAAAACTATTTCTGTAAGCGGAGATATCCATTTTGTAAAATCTACTGACAGACTTTCCTATTGACTTTCCAGTTTTTCTGTACAATAATATCTTCCATGACTTTCAATAATTTCTTTTTTTTTTCAGATTGGACAGATACAGAGGAGATCCAAAAGAGGAACATAAGGATAATTTTGACTTTGAATGCCATATATTTGTGGATGATTCATTTCAGAAAGACAAGGAAACCAAGTTTGTAAACACATATGTGAATGACTTAATGCATGTGATAATAGAAGTGTTCAGGTACGCCGTTCTTTTCCTTTCACATATGTAATCAATTGTGTATCTCAGGGGATAGCTCAGAAATACAGAATTTCACAGATTTTTTTTTAAATGCAGCCATTGTCAAAAATAGCTCTTGATTCTCTGGACTGATTGTTTTAAATGACAATGTCATGCGAGTGGTACATTTTGTAGGGTATTCACAAACAAAGAGCCCGATGACGTGTCTATCATTGAAACTCCATATGGGGGAAGACTGATGTTTGTACTTCCAGAGGGAAACATGCTATATATTCACCTTAAAGATAAAGAGCTGATCCGTAACAAGAAGAGATGGTCACAGGTAGGTATCACTTTCTTCTTTTCATTGCAAAAAAAAATAATGTGCAAATGTTTGAAAGCATATTTCAAGTGATGTTTCACTTCACGTTTTATTTTTTCTGAGCCTAGCAATGAGCAAAGCATAGTTGCGTTTTAAATATATTTTCATAGAACAATAAAATGCTTTTTTCTTTTATATTACAAGTCAGTAGAAAACAAATTCCTATTTACAATAGTGACCTGGAAGCCCATATCTGTGACAGGGTTTTTACTAAAGCAATTTCTGTGTAGTTCCTTGCTCAAGGGCACAGAATCAGCCTCTAACTCAAGACTACGTCCCATTATCTACCAGTTATAAAAGTCCAGTGCCCAGTGGGATGTTATCATTTTTTAATTTCGATTTTTATAAGCTAGAAAGGCAATACTGAGATAAAATATCAAAGTCAGTTATGACATGTATTAATATAATTTGAAAGTTGCATTATGTACTATTGAAAGAGAAACAAGCATACCAATGGTAAGTCATTAGCTAAAATCAAACAGGGTTTCATATCCACTACTTCAACAATTCAGTCAAAAAATATATTTTACTAACTGAAATAGTCAAAAGTTTTTCTGAAGCCCTTATATTGTATTTAGATGTGAGAAGAAAATGACGTGACAAAATGAATATAAACATTCTCTAATTGTCTAACTTTTATTTGTTTCAGATAATGTATATGTACTATCTGCTTGGTTGGAAAGGCTATATTTCAAAGAATCCTTCAAAAATAAAGGTAATTTTCTTCATGTTTGTTGTTTTTCTCATGGTAACTTTTTCCTAATTGTGGAGAACTTGTCATAAAAATAAGACCAAAACTGAAAGACAAAAAATAAACCACACCACTAAGATGTTCATTTTACCAGTCAGTAAATTAACTGAAAAGTGTGACTGGGTCACTCAGCTCTACTGGCATGTAAAAGAGAGTTAGGGCAGAAAAGGATGAAATCTTTTTTTTGGTGTATAGTCCAATTTTCACATAAACTAGTCATAACCAGTACAAATGGCAAGAGTTATGAAATCCATTCATTCTTCTCCTTACTTTATATAACTTGTTTACTCTCCTACACAGAGAAATGACAACCCCTGTCGTGCAAGCCTTATATCCTTGGATGGAGAAAGTTTCCTTTTGCCAGGTTGTGATAATGACAACAAGCGAAAATTCATCTCGGATGAGAATGTATACGTCATGGCATTGGATGGGGACACAGACTTCCACCCCTCTGCCTTAATCTTGCTGGTAGATCGTCTTAGGATGTACCCTAACGTAGGAGCAGCCTGTGGAAGAATTCATCCCACGGGAATGGGTGAGAAAAATAAAAACTATCTCCCATCTATCTCCTTTTCTCCTGAACAAAAAGTGTGACATGGCCTACTCTATGTACTGCGTGGCCTGTCAGTCCCAGCTTTGTGAAACGCTCAGGCATTATAATCTAGGGGCATAAATGTTGCCCCTTTTCTTTCCAGGACCAATGGTGTGGTATCAAAAGTTCAAGTATGCCGTGGGGCACTGGCTCCAGAAAACAGCTGAGCATGTGTTTGGATCTGTGCTCTGCAGTCCAGGGTGCTTCAGTCTGTTCCGAGGATCAGCAATAATGGATGATAATGTCATTAAGAGATACACCACCAAGGCAACAAGGGCAAGCGAATACGTTCAATATGATCAAGGTAACCTTTTTTATTCTTTTCAGATTTTTATGTTCTTAGTTTCTTTTTTTCTGAATCTCTTTTTGTCTTAATTAAATTAAGGAGCAATAACATTGACATTGACATCGCCAATCAAGGCCTCAGCCTGAAACCTCTAATCGCATGTGTTTGGGCGGAGCCTGGGTCATGTTACTAGTTGATTATGACTGGGATTCCACATGGTGGGTTAGATGCAGATCACGGTGGAATTTAGTCAGCTAGTTTCCTCGCCCTGCCTTCCAAGCAGTAACCTCTGGGAACCTGCTGTGAGTGTGCAGTGACATCAGAGAAAGAAGCACTGTCTGTGCTGACCCTGTTGAATGCAAGTGTGTGAGTTGGGGTTAGTGTGGTCCTTATTGTTACTCATTGTCTGGCTTGTATTGGTAATATTCATACTCAGGGCCAGTAGTGGTAGTCTGATTTGATTAACAGTGGGCGATTCCAAACTGGTAGAGTCTAAAAGTCTAAAACAATTGCAATAATTCAATAAAGATGAACATTGAGATTATTGCTGCTTGTCTTCGTAGGTGAGGACCGCTGGCTGTGCACACTGCTGCTGCAGCAGGGCTGGAGAGTGGAGTACAACGCTGCCTCAGATGCCTACACCAACGCCCCCCAGGAGTTCAAAGAGTTCTACAACCAGAGGCGCCGCTGGGGGCCCTCCACCCTGGCAAACACACTTGATCTCCTACACAGTGGAAAAGAAACCTCCAAAAAGAATACCTCCATTTCCATGCTGTACATTTTCTATCAGATCTTCACTGTGGGCTCGTCAATTCTGGGACCTGCCTCTGTCTGCCTCATGATAGCAGGTATGTGTCACCTTGTTACTCTTTTCTGAAATGCTTCATTTTCTGGAGGTTTTAATTCTCAGTTGTTTTTTTCCTAAACCTCTTTCAGCATGTCAGCATTGTTTCAAATCAGACAGCTTACTGAAGAAGATCTTCTGTTTGCAATAGGACTTGACAGTATCAAGAACAGGAACCAGGAATTTGTCTGGGTCTGAACACCTGGAACAGAGAACTGTGTCTCCACGGTGGCTGCGGTGCAAAACCCAACACCCAGCGCGACATCGTTCAGTGGACTTGCAAAAGAGAATAAAGCCAGAATTTAACGCACACTATCTTCTTGTTCTGATATGTGGGCTAATTCTTCAGCCAATAAATTAAACTGTTAGATGGATCATTCGATTCCTGAGAAGCTTGTTTTAGGTATAAAAACATCCTTGCATTAAGTCAAGAAAATGGCCTTACTGTAAATGAGGTAAAAAGTCTTATCTTTTTTAAACAACAACAGAACAACCATATTCTTCTTTTTATTGTAGGTGCGTTCACATTTGTGTTTGGAATGGAGGGAACCCTGGCCATCATCTTAGCTGTCATCCCTCCTGTAGTGTATTTAATCTTGTGCTTCACAACCAAGCCTGACTTCCAGATCAGCGTGGCAGCCGTTCTGAGTGTCATGTACGCCTTTCTGATGACAGCCTCTTTCTTTTCGATTATAGGTATGTAATGTTAAGCTTGTGTTAACATTCTTAGAGCTGACATTTTGACAAAACATTCTTAGAGCTGACATTTTGACAACTTTCTGATGGGGTGCTGAGCAATCAGTGACATTGCACCTTGACAATCTAATACAGTATTGGTTATCATTTCAATTTTTACATTAAAGCAATTAATCTGTAGTGTATGAATTGCAACCTATACCCACAGTAACTGTTTTTCCATTATTTTTATTACCATATATTGCACTGTGTGAAAAAATGTATCTGTAAATACAACACATACAGGACCACACTTATTTTATATACAGTTTTATTGTAGCAGTATTTGACTGTGATTTTCTCTACTTTTTTTCCCCAGGTGAAATGGTGGAAGAAAAGACATTTATCACACCAACAGGTATATTTCTTGTTTCCATGAGCATCTTGTATTTTGTAACAGCCATTCTCCATCCCCAGGAGTTCTCAATGATAATCTATGGGCTGATGTACGTCATCTGCATTCCAAGTGGTTACCTCTTGCTGGCAATATATTCATTCGTCAACATGCACATCGTGTCCTGGGGAACCCGGGAGTCTAATCGGGACAAGGAGGAAGGGAAATCCGTCGGGGTTCTTTGTGACAGGACATGCAGTCTGTGCTGCTGGGATCTGCAATTAAAAGTCAC